GGGTTGGTGATGGGTTTTGGCAAAGATCTCTTTGGCTTAAGCAATTTAGGAAACAAATCCCTTGATTTAGGGGACCTTTGGTCCCTGACTCACCTAGGGTGGGCGAAGTGGGTCTAGCCTGGTCACTAAGGTCCAGAAGGTGGTTGTAGAGGCTTTAGTTTGGTAAATTTGGCATGGCTTGGTCAATTTTGGTGCATGAGTTCAACTTGGGTCAAATTAGATTGAAGTTGGGTTTAAGTTGAGCTAGTCACGACATATGACTCAATTGATTAAGCAACTTGGTGTAGATTATTGTCACAAAGAGTTTAGAAAAGTTTTGGAGTGATTTTGTATTGATTTGGAGGTTCAATTTGAAAGAATTTAGACATTTGTTCAATTTTGGGCATTTGGGTAAGACTTGGGTTTGAGTTGGGCTAGAGTTTTGCTAAGGCCTAATTGATGGTGCATATTGGTCCTAAGGATTGTCATGAAGAGTTTTATATAGAAATTAAATGGAAGTTTTGGGGCTATGGGGTTCAATTCGGTTGAATTTGGGGACATGGCCAATTTGGCGCAAAATTGGGGGTTTTGGTCCAAGTTAGTTTTGAGTGAAATTGAGGCTTGACCAAGGCCAATTGAAGGTTACATTTGATATTTGGAAGTATTTTGAAGAGTTTATGATGCAAAATTGGGGTAATTGGATAGATTTAGGGTTCAATTGAGTGAGATTTTGATTTTGGGTCAAATTGGGGCTTTTTTATTTGAGTTGAAATTAGATGCCAGTGCAGGTCAATTGTGCTTAGATTTGGTTTAAATCAAGCTTATACATGATGAATTTGATTTTAGAACTGAAATTGGAGAAATTTGGGATCAAATTAGTGGACGTTGAGGGTGAATTGGGGTAGTTGGGTCTTTAAAAGCAATTTGGGGCTTTTGATCAACATAGGCCAAATTGGTCTAATTAAGCTCAATGGAGTGTTTCAAATTGATTTTGGGGACATTTGAAGTGATTTGAAAAACTTTTGGGCAATTTGAGTCATTAAGGGTATTTTGGTAATTTTAGCAAAATGAGGGGTATTTTGGTAATTTTGGGATGTTTTGGGTAATTTAGGTAGTTTGAAATAGTTAATTTAGGTAGTTTGAAATTGGGTAATTTAGGTAGTTTGAAATAGTTTGAAATGATTTCTGGATAAATTTGGGTATTTTGGGTAATTTTAGAAATTTTGAGGTTTCAAGGGCAATTTGGTGAATTGGGTGGATTTGGGGGCAAAAGACAGCGTTTAGTATCTTGGTAAAATTGGGGTGTTAATTACCCTACATGAGCCATGAACCAATAGAATTCCCTACTTTGGGTCCTTAATGCACTGGTTTTAGCTAAACCCTAGTTTTAGCTAAACCCTAGCTAAACCCTAGCCTAGGGCTAGTGGGTCTATGGGACCATCTACATGAGTCTCCCAAAGGGTGAAATGATCAAAATCAAGTAGGCTTGAGTTTAAGGTAGTGAGTGGAAGTGTAATGTGCAAGTGTGTGTGTGTGAGCAACCAAGACCACACCACCAGGGGGTTTACCCTAAGGCCAGGCAGTCTTATGGGAACTTTCCTTGAGCTCCTCCATATTGACCCCACTTACTATGTGCTAGAGGTTAGGACCAATATGTGAAACTTCAGGTTGAGCAAAGAAGAGTTTAAAATTTAAAATTTCTAATGGTGGGGTTCCTTTCTAGTCCTCTAGGAATAGTCAACAGGAAAGTCCAATGGCTAGGCCCTAGGCTACTAAAGAGGAAAAACTAGACCTCAACCAAAAGTGAGGTCAACACTTGCATGAAATTTAAACTATTTGACTCTTAAAAATTAGCTTTTGAAATTGCCTAAGTAGACTCAAAACGATACTTACTCTTCAAGATTATTCATCTATAAGTAGTCATATAATCGTCAAACGTATTCACCACACGACTAAAAAGTTTTGTCAAAAAGCACATCAAAGGTACTTTGCCTCAACTCGAGTCAGTCAAAGTTTCCGACTAGAGAATAATTTCCCACCAATATTTTCATTTTCACATCTAGAAATATTGAGCTCAATTTTGTATTTTATAATTTTTTTAAATGGGTAGCCGTTTATGTAATACTGGTCTAGGTTTTTGCTTATAGAAACTCAAGCGTGCATGTTGTATAATTAGTTAGCTTAAAACTCTTTCAAAAAAAAAAAAAAAGATTTTGGAGATTTTGGCTCCTTATCCTCCCCTTGGCTTCAGTTATAACCTATGACGACAAAGATAAATCATCATCCTAAACATTATATTTTCTATTCCATGGACTTGAGTTATAATATTGTCATATTTTTCTAAAGTTATCTTTAAATCAAGCAATTATCTTAATTAAAATTTGAGATATGTTATTTATGTTTGCTTAGGTTCATAATCAATCACATATTGACTCAAATCACAATAAAATAGATGATCCCATGCTTTCACATTGATTGATTAAAAAATTAAAATTTCATGAAAGTTCAAATCAAATTTAACCTAAGAAAAAAGATCCCAACATTATTTATGTGAATAAAGAGGGAAACATCTTGAATATAAACTTTAAATTTATTTTGGGAGAAATAAATCACTTATATAATTAGATAGTATATTATATTTATTTTTAAGTAAAATTTAAAATCTTTATATTCATCCACATCAATTTGGGAAGAAAACATTATCCTAAAATTTTCTTTTATTTATATTCTTAATGATCATCTATTTTTTTGGGTAAGTGAGAGCACACGCCCAAGCAATATCGTTAAATATAAACACTTTACTTATATATTGAAGAGAAAAGTAGGCAAAACAATACATAAATGAGGGAAAAATATAATAAAATGGGCATGTGAATGCCAACAGATGAGCTCAAAACCCAAAATGCCATGTGGCTTGCTCTTGATTCTTTTAAGTCAAATGAACTCTCCTTCAACCCATAAAATATAATATGGGATTATAGTGGTGAAAACAAATAAGTGAAATGACAAGATTCTAGTGAAAATGATATTAATTAAAACCACTGAAAAGAAGTGCTTAAATGAGAAGTCTAGAGATCTGCAAGGCCCCCAAACAACCAAAATAGCCATGACAACTAAAAAAAATCATGGAAAATGTGCTCCAAGCCTAAAGAACATAAGGCGGCAGAAAGAGCCCAAATAGTACTTGTTCTTATATCACAGTGGCAGTAAATAGAAATAAACATAGAAGTATGAAGCCATAGAAGACCACTAAGTAGGCAAGGGTGAAAGAAATAATTCAATGAATTGGAATAATGGTTGAACAATAAAATACAACACCATAATGATAAAACCAAAAGAGATTTTCCTACAAAAAATCAGAGAGACATAAATCTACAAAATCTATGCACTTCCTTGATAAAAATAAAAATTTAATCTTTACGTTTCCATTTCCTAGATTTAATCTTAATGGTCCAATGCATCTTTTTAGTGAGTATCTCAATGTAGAGCTATCATTCCTAAAAAAATCCTACAATTCCTTTCAACCCAAATATGATGAACAAGATTGTGAACAACCATGATATAAATCCTTTTCAGAATAGTGGTGTTAAATGAGTTAGGGTGCCAAGGACTTGCACTAAATTAATTTTAGCTAAAAATCAACCCATCATTTAGAATGCATCTTGTAAGGAATGGAAACGGTGCACTCGAAGTAATGGTGGTTATGAGTTCCCCAACTAGATTGGCAAAAAATACACCAAGGGTTAATAATAATGCCTTCGCTGACGAGAACATCCTTGATTTTTACTCCACATTCTATAGTTTTTCAAATGTGTGAAGCGAGGAGTACCATTCAAACCAAATCAAGTTGAACCACTTTACTTTTGGGAGGACCACATATTCAAAAAAATAAGTGAATTTTTGAAAGTAGTAATCTTAATTTTTCCAAAAGCAAGATAAATGATTATCCACAATTCCAATATTGGTAATCTTGTGCATCGAGGTGGAGCATTAGAGTTGACTATAAAAAACTAATCCCCATTAAAAATAACATCAGTGATTTTGGTATTGAGAAGAAAACTAAATCAATTTAAGACTTGCTTACCATAAATTTCATAAAGAGAAGATTCCATAACTCATGGATCAAATTAAAATTATAGATTACTGTTCAGACTAACAGAAAAGGAGATGTAACCTTTTATTATAACAATAATTTTAGTAAGGTCTCTCCGGAATGAGGAAATTTTAAATCTACTATTGGACCAAAGAGGCCCATAATGGTTAATATCCCACTTGGAGAGAAAGAAATTAAATGTATATAATCTCCAAATGATTTTGGACTTACACATGAGGTTAGTAGTATCCATTCTGGGTAAGCCTATCCCACTATAAGGTTTAGGATGAGTAACCTTCTTCCAAGTTATGTTGTGATTCTTCCTCTTCACCCCATATTTATGTAAGAAATTATTGAATATAGAAGAATTTTTCTTCCTCAAACCTTTGGGGCGTGTAATATATCTAACCAAAACTATATATAGTTCCAAATTGTGGTTTTAATCAATTCGAATCTCCGAGCATTAAATAAGAGTTTTTTGTTTTCATCAAGAAAACATTTGTACATTCTATTAAACGATTTTTACAATGCATAGTAGTCACTCTGGTGGGCTTTATAACCACTCCTAAGTAGTCCCAAGGAAGAGGAGTATTGAGAAGTCCATAAGCATTGCAAAGAAGTTCCCAAATAGAAGTATCCATAGAATTAGCAAAATATAAAACATTTATTATTGTTAGCACTTAGATTGGACGTCATATGTAGGAGTGTTGAAGCATATGAGAGTTAATTAATGGTGGTGATGTTTGCCTTGTCAAATACAAGGTCATAGGCATAGATGATACTGGAAAAATTAGAGTTTGTAGGACTTGAGGAGACAACCAAGCTATATCCCAAAGCCCTTATTTTCAACCTGTAGAACTTAAGGAGGCAATGAAAATAAATAGCACCTTTGTGAGAAAACAATATTAGTGCACCACACCTAAGAAGCTTCGCTATAAGTATCTTGCATATTTCTCGCTTTCTCAGCCGTCCCGCCTCCTCTCCCTCATCCTCTCTCTTTCTCCCACACACACGCGCCCACGCGCCCACGCGCGCTCGCATATACACTCACACACGTTTTGCTGTCGATCTGCTAATTGGTTGATCCGCCATGGAGACGCAGTCGGCGGCAGCATACCCTCATGGGGCCATGGAGAAGCGCCCTAGAAAGAGGCCGAGGCTGACCTGGGACATGCCCCCTCTTCTACCGCTCGTGGTCGAATCCTCACCCTCTCTCTCTCTCTCTCTCTCTCTCTATTTCTATTGTGTGTTTATGATCTTTATCTTAAGTTTGCTCTAATTACAGGTTTGGCCCTAAGTTTTGTTTCGTCTCTTGCTTTTTTTGGTTGCCCGGCTATCGGATCTAGTTACTTTCGTTGTTCTTCTCATCGGAATTTCGTATTTTCTTGTAAAGCTACGCTGGATCATGAATTCGCAAATTTATTGTCTGCTCTGGTGTTTTTTTTCTATGTTCAGGTCTTCAGTGAAATTTTCTCAGTGTTGCCCTATATCTCTTAAATTTCTTTTGGACCAAGTTAGGGCTTTTGATGAATTTCGTAGTTTCTTGTAAAGTGTTTTATTCCTTTTTGTCCTGTTCCTTCGAATAATGTCTGGATATACTGTTAGATAACATGCATTCTGGGAAATCTGAAACCTGTATATTTTTTTGAGCGCGTCAAGGAAGTACTTTTGGATATTTTAATGTTTTTTTTTTTCATTTGATCTGACTTGTTAACGATGTTGATTTTTGCAATCTATTGCCTTGTAGGTCAAAGGTTAAAAAGATGCTCGTTGCCAATTTGGATCAAAACGGCCTATCTATTACTGTTAAATGAGTGCCCCTAAAACAAAAAGCTAGAACCGTTAATATTTGTATGCTTTGTTCGCTATCATAAGTGCTTCATCAGTTTCGCATCGGATTGTTTTTTTAGTTCATTTCTTTCTCAAAGCCTATCAAAGCAGCAAATAAAAAAAAAAAAAAAAAAAAAAACAAACAGTGTGCCATTATTTACTTGTTGGGGGTGTAACTGATAGAGATGTAAAATATTTTAGCCAGTCAAACAGCTTACATGAAAAAAATGGTAAGGTTAATAGTCTCAAGAAATTTTCTTTATGCAGGCACCTTCTACTCTGTACTGTAGACAGGAATTTGTGAATGGTTATGGTGTAAATTATGCAATCTCGTCCTACTACTACAATGAATTGCATCATCATGCATCTCCTCCCTGGAGAGCGGATGATAAAGATGGCCATTATGTGTTTGGAGTTGGCGAGAATCTAACACCCAGATGTAATATCTTGGTCCTTCATATATCTCATAGACTTGAGTTTCTGTATTGAGTTTCAATGTTTAGAGTATACATTGCTGCAAATATCAACTTATGGGTTCTTCGTTTACTGGATTCTGGGACTAATTAACTGCATTTAGTCTGTTGTATAACTGTATACCCAACAAATTGCGCTACTGCTTGCTATTAGCTTTCATTTATAGTTAGAAAGATTTGCATACATACCACTTTATTGCTATGTATTTACATATCGAACATCTAAACTTCAATTTTTACATATTTTCTTTCTACGCATCAAAAGGTGTATTTCACTTTTAAAAGTTAAAATAGTGGTATTTTTGATGTGATATGAAAGATTTAGGTGTGATAAATGTAAAAATTGAAATTTAGGTGTTAGATATGTAAATACATGGGAATTGGGAGGCATGTTTACCGTCTTTTATCTTATGGGAAAAAAATATCATTAGCTTCACTGCCATCTTTTTCTGTGATAATTCTCTCCCTGTTTTTAATTTTTTGTTTTTTTACCTCTTATAGTTCTAATTTTCTTGACCTTCTATGAATTATTAGACTGAGTTATATTTCATTTCTTTTTATTCCCAGATAGAATACTCAGCAAAATGGGCGAAGGTTAGTTCCATGTGAACCTTTTAAATTTCTGTGTGTGGTCAACATGTATTTGTCTTGCTATATAAAATTAGTTACATGCTTTCATGTTAAAACCATAGAGGCACGCTGTTTTCTATTATGTGATACAAACTGGAAGGATAATTTAAAGCTATCGAAGTGAAATAATTAATCTGTTTTGTCATGTTTAAACTCCATGAGAATTTCAATTTCTTATTATCTTTTTTTTTTGCATTTTGCAGTTTATCTTCTTGTGTTTAATTTTTGTACTGTTCCATTTTTAGGTACCTTCGGTCAAGTATTAGAATGCTTGGACTTGGAAAGGATGGAACCAGTGGCAATTAAAATTGTGCGTTCAATTTTGAAATACCGTGAAGCTGCCATGATTGAGATTGATGTTCTTGAAAGGCTTGCAAAACATGATCCTGGCGGTTCTCGGTAAGGTCCTTTTACATTATGCGCATAGCACTTTGTATTTTAGAATATTAAGATGAATTTGCATTTTGGGTTATTCCCTGCAGTTGTGTACAAATACGGAATTGGTTTGACTACCGTAATCATATATGTATTGTAAGTAAATATATTCTAATTTAGTTATCGAATCCTTGGCTGGAATAAACAGAACTATAACAGAAATTTGCTTTTAATTTGTTTTGAAAGGTTTTTGAAAGGCTTGGTCCAAGCTTATATGATTTTCTTCGGAAGAATAGTTATCGTTCTTTCCAGATTGACCTAGTTCGGGAGCTTGGGAGACAGCTTTTGGATTCAGTAGCTTGTGGGTGGATTGTATTTCCTCCTTTAATTTTGTCTTTTTTTCTTTAGCAAATTTGTTAAATCCTTCTCATGTTCTTATATGTTGATATTGTAATTTGTACTTTTTTTTTCTTTTTTTTTTATTTAGTTATGCATGAATTGCGGCTTATTCACACTGATCTAAAGCCTGAGAACATCCTTCTTGTTTCATCGGAGTACATTAGGGTCCCCGATTATAAGGTGAAATGCTATAAATATTTTTTACTGCATTTTTCTTATTGGCTATGAATTTTGAAATGTTATGTAATGATGATTAGTATTGAAATACATACATTAAATGCAGTAACTGCATGATTTTTTTCAGCATTTAATTTTTACCGTTGTAGATGCAAACATCGTCAAGATACTCTAAGGATGGTTCATCTTTTAAGAATGTACCGAAATATAGTTCCATTAAACTTATTGACTTTGGGAGTACATCATTTGAACATCAAGATCATAGCTATGTGGTGTCGACACGTCACTATAGGGCGCCTGAAGTTATTCTTGGTGAGTTAGACCTTTTATGCAGTTCATTTTTATCTATTCTGCTTTGATGTCCAGTTGTCTGATATATATATATATATTTTTCTTTTTCCCAAAGGACTTGGATGGAACTCTCCTTGTGATTTATGGAGTGTTGGCTGTATCTTGGTTGAACTTTGCTCGGTAAATTCACCACTGCTATTATTTTTCTTTCTTTGTTTTTTAGGAAAGCTTATCTTTTTATTGTCTTTTACACAGTATTTTGATTGTTCATTGGTCTATTAACGGATATGGATATGGGGACACAGACACATGTTACTTCTATCATTGAAAATATAGGATATGGATATGCGTTGGACACTATATTATAATATGAAGTAACATTTATATGCATATCACCCAATTCAGATATATTTACTTGTAACACCTAAACTTTGCTTTTAACATTTAAACCACCCAAATCTTTCATATCACATCTAATATACCACTAGTTTAACATTTAAAAAGTGATCCACTTTTTCTTGCATTGTTAAGGTGCCATATATGTAAAAATTAAAGTTGAAGTGTAGATATGTAACTAAATAAGAATTCAGTGCTATGTTTGTAGAGTTTTCTATTATATATTATTAAAAAATAGATAAAAATAAATAAATAGTAATGTTGAACAATAAATAAAAGAAAATGAGATAATAAAAAAAAATAGTAACATAACATTCAAAAGCTAAAAAATTCATAGAAGCTAAAAAAATCATAGATATTATTTAGTTTATGGTATAGAAATAGTAAGCATTCTCTAACTTGAAGTATATCTTGATATGTTTAACTTTTAAATAAATATAGAATAATTATTTTAAATTTAAATTTTAAGATTAAATGTTTAAAAATATATTTAAAAGATTTTAATTCATTAATTTATGGCACTTATTTAACAAGCTTGTTCTTTTTTTTTAATATTATTTAAAACAGATAGATTTTGTCGTGTTCGTCATTAGACTTCTTAATTAGGAGTATCCTTCATAATAGTTCGTTGCATCTTTATCGGAGGCGTGTCCATGTTTGATATGTTTTTGACATTGCACTGATAAATTATAATTTTAAACTATATTATTCAATCTGTTTAAGTTGATAATGGAATATCAATGGCTTTGGCATTCTTCCTTTTGGTTAATCTATTGATGCAGGATGATCTAGGATTTGGGTTTCTTAGTGCAAATAATATGATTTATTTTATGAATTCATGAAAAGGAACATGAGGATTGACGCGGATCACAAGCCATCACTTACAACAACAACAACAACAAAACCTTTATCCCACTAAGTGGGGTCGGCTACCTGAATCCTTTTCTCCATGGCGGCATATTGAGTGTCATATTTTCACCGTCACTTTGAACAATAGACCCGAGATATCTAAAGTGTTCACACCTTTTAATAATTTGATCACCTATAGTTAAATTTCTGTCACTGGAGCTACTAGTACTAAAATTACATTCCATGTATTCAGTTTTAGTTCTACTCAAACGAATGCCTTTAGATTCCAAGGTAGACCTCCATAATTCAAGTTTTTTCCTGCGCTTTTTCTCTCGTCTTATCCATGAGAGGATATCATCAACAAAAAGTAAGGTACATCCTCATGTAAGTGTCCAGTAAGACCATCCATAACTAAAGGCAAATGATATGGGCTTAAAGCCGATTCCTGATGTAAATCTACAGAAAAAGGAAAATATTTGGTCAATCCTCGTTCTGTTCGAACACAAGTAACAACTCTTGTATACATATTTTTAATGACTTGAATATAAGTCATAGCAACGCCTTTCTTCTCAAGAACTCTCCAAATGATATCTCTTGGAACCATAACATAGGATTTTTCTAAATCAATAAAAATCATATGTAGATCTTCGTTATTATCTCTGAAGTTCTCAACCTAAATGTATAGCTTCCATAGTAGACTTGCCCGACATAAATCCAAATTGATTATGAGAAACCTTTATAATACGTCTTAACCTATGTTCAATTACCCTCTCCTATAATTTTAATGTATGACACATATGACACATCAACTTAATTCTAATTCTTCTATAATTTGCACACTCTTGTGTATTCCCTTTATTCTTTAAAATGGGGACCAAAATATTCTTTCTCCACTCCTCTGGTATTTTTTTAGTTTTTAAATTAATATTAAAGAATTTAGTTAGCCAATAAACTCCTAAATCTCTGAAATATTTTCACACTTCAATTGGGATATCATCAGGTCCTACAGACCTTCTACCATTTGTTTTCTTTAAAGCGTCATCAAATTTTTTTTTATTAAAGTGACGGTAAAAATGAAATGTTTTATTTTCTTATTAACGGTATTAAGATCACTAAGATCGCTCGTATTTTTCGAAACTTCATTAGAAAGCTTATCAAAATAACACACCCACTTATTTTGATTATCTTTTTCTAAGAAATATATTTTTTAATTTTCATCTTTAATACACTTTACTTGAGTTAAATCATTACTTTTCTTTTCTCTTTGTTTGACTAGTTTATGCATTTTTTTTTTACCCTCCTTAGTATCTAATCTATTATAATAATCACTAAAGGTAGAATTTTTAGCATCGCAGATTATTCTCTTAGACACCTTACTGGCTGTTTGATATTTTTTCTAGTTCTTTAAGCTTTTATATTTAAACCAATTTTTATAACATAACTTCTTATATTTTATTTTTTCTTGCACATTATTCCACCACCAACTAATTTTATTTATAGAAATTTTTTCTTTTGATTCTCTAAGTACAATTTTTTTCACTTGTTTAATAATGTTTGTTATTTTATCCCACATAGAAATTGCTTCTTCATGAACATCTTAAATTTTGAAATATTAAATTTTACTCATAAAAACAACTTTATTTGTTTAGGTACCCTCCTCTATTTCTACGACGATGATTTTTAGTATTCTTTATTTTACAATTTTTCATCTTAAAATCTAGAATTAATAATCAATGTTGAGTACTTCAATCCTTATTTGAAATAACTTTAACATTTTAATATTCTCGATGATCTCTTCTTCTCATAAGAAATAATTAATTTTTATTTTATTAAATTCATTCTTATAAGTAATAATATATTCATCTCTTTACTTGATAAAATATTAGCAATAACAAAATCATACGTTAAAGAAAAATCTAATATAACTCTACCTTCTTCATTAATCACTCAAAAATCGTAGCCACCATGAATATTTCTAAAATCTTCTACCACTTTACCAACATGTCTATTTAAATCTCCCCCAATAAAAATTCTTTCTTCAAGAGGTATCATTTGTATTAAGTTTTCTATGTAGTTTCAAAATTTATCTTTAGAACCTATATCTTAACCTATTTGAGGAGCATAAACACTTATAATATTAAAAATCTTAGATCAACAATAATCTGAAGGGTTATAATTTTATCTCAAACTCCATTAATTTTTACAACATTATATTTCAAAATCTTATCTATATTTACACATACACCATTTCTTGTGTAATTCTTATCTGAATACCAAAGTTTAAAACTTAAGTTATCAATCTTCTTCGTCTTTTCTCCAACTCATTTAGTTTCTTGAACACATAAGATATTTATCTTTCTATGAATCATAATATCAACTAATTCCATTAATTTATTAGTGAGAGTATCTATTTCAAGATCCTATCCTGATATTAGTTTCATGGAATAGCTTCTTTTTCTATATCCGTCCGTAATGTGAGAACTCTTGCTTATTTGACACTATACCCATTGCCGGTGTAGCGGCCTTTACACACTTTTCATTGTATTCAGACCATACAACGCGTCGCTTCCAGTAGATGCCTTACCACTTACACAATGATCAAATGGATTCATGTCATGATTTTTTCAACAAGTTTTATGCTGGTTGTCGACTACCTAACGTAACCCGTCACTTTTCATAGTTGGAATTGGGATTGACAATGACAGTGCTTGAAAAATCTTTAAAATAAACAATTAGTACAAGCCTAGAACCAAGTTGATAGTGAAATGATATAATATGCTTGAAAAATCATCAAGAATCTTAAACCATTTAAACTCAATGAGCAATTATAATTTTATGCCTAAAATTAGAATTTTAATTTATCCAAATGTGAATAAAATCAAGAATACTAATAAAGTTGAAGTGCAAATAAGTAGTGTTTAAAATTTCACATTTGGGAATTGAGGTATTTTACGTTCATCAGGTGAGGTGCAAGCCTCAAGGTGTTTGGAGCCATAAGCCTCATAATTAATAAATGAAATAAAATAAAAAGTATCATAGTACTATCAAAATATAAAGTAAGAAGTGATATATTAACATTTAAACATTCATATGAAGTAAGTAATTTGCTATACAGTTTTCTCTACTACACCATCAAGAAGTAAAAAAAGAATTACTATAAATTTTTTACCTTTAACTGACTAGGAATCAGTACTGTAGTGGTTGTTAATAAAAACATTAATCAAGCTTCTATTTTTTATACTAGACCAGCCATAAGACCTGACAGTCACTCAATCTTTTTTCAAATTATTTTAATTTCTTCAATGACTTTTCTAATGTTATTCTTTTCGTCATTTAGTTTCCAAATTCTTAGCTCATGCATAAATGGTGATTTAAGGTCAACTATAGGATCTCATAGAGCAAATCGTGTTCACATAATGGCAGAGAAGCTTCATTAAATGGAATAGCGTTTTCATATGAAAGGTTTTAATATTCATACACCTATATTCCTACAGGCTTTCTTTCATTTTTCAGGAGGCATCTGATTGGCTATTCTCATGCTGTTGTCTTTGTCATCCTTTACATTGTGCATTGATACATAGGATTTATCAAGTTATTTGTTGTTGCACTGAATACTTTGATATCATTGCTTTATTTATGTAAGTATTATCTTATATTTCACCACTTCATGCACTTTGGTGCAGAACAACGACAACAAGTTTTTATCCCACTAATTGGGGTCGCCTACTTGAATTCTTTTTCTCTATTGTCCTATTGAGTGTTGTATTTTCATTTAATTCTTATAGATTAAAATCATTTGTTATACAGTATGCCCAAATCTTTTTAGGTTTACCTTTGCTTTTCTTAACATAACTTGAATCTAAAACATCTACTCTCCTAATCAGATCATCAGATGGTCGACTTTTATTGCGACCAAACTATCTAAGATGACTCTCTTTAAACTTGTCTGCAACTTGAGCTACACTTACCCGTTCACGGATAGATTCTTTTTGCATTCTCTTAGTGTCATTCTTATAAATTTTTGGCAAATTTTACGTGGTTGTTGGCTACCTAGCGCAACCCTCCACCTTGGTGCACGATGCAAAATTTTTATGCGAGGAAAAATGGTGTTCTTCCATTCTTGTTACACCTTTTTAATCGCCTTGATGTAGTATGTGCACGTCAGATAGACATATTTTATAACTTTCTCTAAATTTGACTTGCACATTTCCCTGCTGGGTCTTTTCTATGTCCACTTTCTTTTCACTTCTAACCATGTTTAGAAAATCCTAATGAAAATCTCAATTAAAAAAAAATTAATATGCATTTTTATAAAAAAATAAACCATAAATAAAAAGGCTTAAATTTTAGATTTTGCAAAAAAAAATTGTCTAGGGTTATCAACAGGAAGGGGAGATGTGCGAGTGATTGACAGCAGCGGTGGTGAGGAAGGGAAGAGATCTTTTGACCATATGTGTAAAAGTTAAATTCAATAAAAGGTTTTGCAAATGATTGTGATTTAAAAACTTCGTTGCGTCTTTTCATTTTGCCTGAACTCCCCTGGTAGTTGGTTGCTTAAGTGCTTAAATTTTTGTGTTGCAAGAGATGTTCAGAACTACTTAATGGTTCCTAACTTTGATCCTCTGCCTATGCCATTTTTCAACATTAATTTCATAATAGAACAGATTTTATGATTTCTATATGCCTCTTTTGACAGAATTATCCCAGCCATTAGCACAACCATGGTTTGACAAAATCATCTCAACGATTAGCACAACTGTGGCATTTGTTTTTAAAAAATTTACATGATGCTTGGAGCTGTGTAGTCAGCATCTTTCCTGATTTTTTTTTTAATGTTTTTAACTACAGGGAGAGGCGCTTTTTCAAACTCATGAAAACTTGGAACATCTTGCAATGATGGAGAGGGTTTTAGGCCCATTGCCCATGCATATGATTCGGAATGCAGAGTTAGTAGAAGCTTTGAGTCAAAGTTTTTCTCTTCTATTTGATTACCTCATATGAAAACTTGAATGTTCACCCCACTTTTTTACTCCTTCAAACAGCAGGCATGCCGAAAAATATTTTAAGCGAAACTTGCGGCTAGACTGGCCTGAAGGAGCAACTTCCAGGGAAAGCATGAGGGCAGTTGGAAAATTGCCTCGTCTCCAGGTATTTGCATGTTATGTGCATATTTTGTTTGTTCAGAGGAAATTATCAAATTAATCCCTTGACTATTTAGATGTGGCTATTTTAGTCCTAGAGTTTTTAAAAATGTCAAATTAGTCCCTAGATTATTCTAATGGGTGTTAAAATAGTCCTCATTGCTCACTATTTTAACCTGCACTGATAGAGTCTAAGGACTAAATTAACACTTTTATAAACTCATGGATCATTTTGACACTTTTGTCTTTGTTCGAATGATAAACTAAATTTAAATTGTAACAATCTACTGTGCAGAACCTTATAATGCAGCATGTTGATCATTCAGCAGGTGATCTCATTGATCTTCTTCAAGGACTTCTCCATTATGATCCTGCTGAGCGTCTAAAAGCTCAGGAAGCCCTCCGCCACCCATTCTTCACCAGAGATTATAGAAGGTCTGGTTATTCTCTGTAATAGAGAGCCCTTCTTTTGTCATTCTTTAGCTATTGTGGGAACTATTGATAGAAAACGAGAATGTGCCATATTAGCTAATAGCCGGGCCTTAATTTTGAGGGTGTGCTATACCAATTTATAGGGTGGGTTTTGGGGCTACTGCAACATGGAATGTGAAAGGTTTAGTGTTGTATAAGAAGCCGCATGTATTTTTCAAAATTTGAAGAACCTGAAACGCTGACTAAGAAAATCTGATTTCTCTTTTATGGTTTGGTATTTCGGCGGAGAACAGGTAGTGTTGCTTGTTTAGCTAAACCAGTTCTTCTCAGAAAGCAAGCAGAGACAGATGAATCAAGCAGTTGGTTTTCTTCAGAAACTTGAAGCCATGAAGTTGGTTCCAGGGCTTAGCTGGGCCTTAAACGAGAAAGTTATCCGCCCAAATCTTTGATTATTTACTAGCTTGTGGGGGTTGTCTATATAACTGATCAAGCACCGGGAAGGTATGCATCTAAATCTTCCAGTTTCCAATGGCTTGTGGAAATTTCCTGAGGTGTGGTAAGTTTTTTAAGCTCTTCAAGGAAAAAATTAAGGTGGTAAACAGTTTAATAAAAATATAGTTAGACTGAACATCAAATTTTTGGATTTTAAGATGAGCGTAATATAAATTTTGAAGATTTATATAAATGCCGCACAATTCCTATTGATTTACATTTCTAAAACATATATTTTAAATAATATTTTTATACCATTTAACATGATGCTTAAACAGGGGTTTCTCACTTTTTTTTTTTAAGTTAGTAATAGTGATATTTTGTGTGATGAAAGATTTGAATATTTTAAATACATAAGAATTGTGTGACATGTATGTAAATGTCTAAATATAAATTTTTATTTGTTATTTCTGTTTTACTCTCGTCTCAAAATAAATTTAATGGCTTTGAGAATCATAACAAGAGATACTATGTTTTTTTATTTTTTATTTTGTTCTAATCCTTTGACTTCAACTAGATTGGTGATTAGCTTATATTTAGTCCTATTGAGAGATGATTGACATTCAATAAAAAAAAAAAAAACTAAATCTTGTTGGTGGTGGAATGGTTTTTTCCGTTAGCTGTGACTTAATATGAGAAAAAAATAAATTATTTGTGTATCATTTATAAGGAGTGGACATCACTTTTTTTTAAGGCATCATTATAAGGTTTGAGACATCAATAATCATGTTTATTTTAAATAGAAATTATTTATTTATTTTTTGAATGAGTGAGAAGGGGACCATGGCGGCACATTCCCTGAACTAATTTATAATAAACAAAAAATAATAACATGAAAAAACTGTACCAAATAAGTGTTTTTAAAGTAAAAATAGAGAAAAAAAAACAAAAAATTAAAATATTAAAGTACACAAAATATTGATTAAATCTTAAAAAAAAAGAAATGGTAATGTTATTGGCAGTAATCATATGCTTTGTTGTTGGAGATTGGAATCGGCTTAAATTTTTTATTGGTTGATTTGACCGACGGTTGTGCTGCTACCATGAACTCAAAAACGTCCATACAGAACTACAAAAGAGGAAAATGGGATCAGCGTGGTGATCGCTTTCTGCTCCCATTTCTATTTTAAAATTTACTACCGCAACAGTCCTTTATTCTTAGATGATTCAAGAGTATGGCCCGTTTATAGTTTATGCCTACAAGTATCTGTTCAATTTATGGTGCTCGATGAATGAAGACTGCATGAACAGGTTTGAGTAGTAAATTTTGAGTAATTGTTCAGTTCAATGTTACAAGTATTCTATGACGTTATAATTGACTGCGAACAGGATGCATAGTTTTCTCAAGGCAAGGTAAAGTTGATTTAGTTTTTTAATAATTCTGGTTTGTTAATTAATTTTTTGGAATCTAAATAATGGAAAAAATTGAAGTTTTATTGAAACGTTTGGACGAGTAATATGTACTAAGTTTTGAGGCAATTTGGCATAGGCCATTCATATTATCCCAATTCGTTTGGACCTTTTGTTTGGTGGTATTGCACACACCTATCTAATCCATATGCTGTATTTTTTTCTTTGTTTGGGGGTCATTATTGCTATTTAGATAATAATTTGCTTTAAGACTTTCATTTTAATTTATAAAGTAGTAAAACGTTTTTCAAAAAAATTAAATAAATTTGAAGCATTTTTAATATTTAAATATATTTTATTTTGTCCCTTCGAATTCGATCTTTGATACTGCAATATTTGCATTATTTTACTTTCCTTCCCAACATAGAGTATCGGGCATCTCGCCTTCAACTTCAATTATGGTACACCAGCCTGAGCCGAGAGTTTCCCAAATGTTGGTATTATCCGGATTGTGAAGTCAATTCCTTATGAGATTCAGTTAAATGAGTTGTTGCAGCGAGAAGCACATTGTTAGAACACCGTGATTGAAATAACGTGTTTCTTATTTATTGTATTGTTGAAAATAAAGAAAAGCATAATAATTTCATTTTTTGGTGGAATGTAAGGTAACAAAATTAAAAATTATATAAAACAATGATTATGAATATCCGGAATGTTATTTCAGCAGCACGGAAGGAGGTACACTCTAGTAGCGTAAGTGGCAGAAAATTTTATTTAATGAAGGCCTAAATAATCAATTTAAAAATATTATTTTTTTATCTAAATTTGGAATGTTAATTACTACTAGGTAACATTTTTATTCCATTAGGTGAGGGCGGTTAAATGAAAATTATTTCGAGCTAGTCCTGAATGTCATATTTTTATTTAATTCTAATAGATTAAAAAAATATTTATATAATTACATAAATCTTTTTAGGACTGCCTTTATTAATTAGATCATTAGATCATCAATATTTTGAATCTAAAACATTTATTCTTCTAAATAGATTATTAGATGATTGATATTTAATGTTACCAAATTATCTATGACGACTCTTATCTTGTGTATCTGCTAGTTATATGTAACTTGTTATGAATATATTCATGTCACGACTTATCTTTAAGTGTCAAGCCACTCATCCACTTAGCATTCTCATCTCATTAAAAGTTAATTTTGTTTTTGTTCACTTTTAAAGGCCAACATTTTGGGCTATATAACATTGCAAGGCTCACCATTATATTATAAAATTTTTCTTCGCGCCTAAGTTATACTTTACTATCACACAATAAGCCTGGTGCATTCCTTCGCTTGAACCAACCAGCTTGAATTTTACTAATAACATCTCCATCTATATCACCATCACTTTGAACATTAAACCAGAGATATCTAAAGCCTTCATTTTTTTTAATGATTTGATCACCCATAGTTTCAATTTTGCCACTGGAGCTACTATTATTTAAATTATATTTTATATATTCAATTATTAGTTCTATTCAAACAAAAGAATTTAGATTTCATTGTAGACCTTCACGATTCAAGTTTTTTCTTGAACTCCATCTTCAGTCTTATCCATAAAAGAGATTATCAGCGATAAACATACATCAAGGTACTATTTTTATTGATGTTATATATTTTTAATTTTTATTTTTGGAATAAAAGTATATTGACAAAAATACATAGTTTATTATTTGAAATAATTGTATGGTTATTTTATTATCAATACTATAACATAAAAATTCTTTAATATCTTTTAAATCCTATAGGTCTAAGATATATAAAGTTGTATAAATTCATGTGATAAACATCTTTATGTTTAATAATCATTTATTTTTAAATATATAAAACATATAGATTAATTATTTATTAATATTATAGAGCATTAAAAAAGGCTGAATTAATAATGTAAATACAAGTTATAATTGCAAATATAATTTAAATTGAATTAAATAGGATTAAAAATTTGGTTTAAAATTAAAATTGTTTTTATGTTATTGATAAAAAACAGTTAAAAATTCAAATTAAGTAAATTTATTTTTAAACTCATGAACAAACTCATCAAGATACAAATTGGTAGAAGTTTCCCTCTTGCATGGGTCATAGATTTGCTCCTCAGGAATTGGGGTAAGTGTCACTTATGCTTCTCGTATACTTTTTCTCTTGACGTAAGAAAGCTATATGCTTGCAACGACTGACATTACGACATTGCATTCTTCTGTGTGGCGCATCTGATAATCTTTCATCATTAGCACTGACTAAACTCCCCATCGGCGCAGTTATTAGAGATTGTAGACGACTGGTTCTTTCCATTGAATGTTGTTGTATTTCTGCTTTCTTCCTCTTCAGTGAAGAGTCTTCTTTGGTACCAATTCTTAGCAGTGATGGTAATCATTCTTTCTCCCGGTGACTGACTACGTCCATTAGGGACCCTCGTAGTCCACGTCGACCTGACCAAAGTCCAAGTCAAAGTCTATGATGCCTCCCTGAGCTGCCCTTTCTTCATTCAATGCGAGATTTAAGTCGTCCATAAAAGAGAAAATGAGCTTTCATCCCGACATTTTTCTGCAGAAGACAGAAAAACATCAGTGCGCTGTGAGGTTCAGCATGAACAAGAATAACAAAGAAATATTAATTAAACAAAAAATTCAATTTATATAGATGCAAATTTTATTAATTTAATTCAATTTAATTAGATTTCAAAATTTAAAACAAGAGTAGAAAATTAAAGTGAATAAATTAAAAAATTTTCATTTTATTGAGGTTAATTTTATTACAAAATTTTGGACTCTGTCATGGACGCTTGGCTAAATAAATAACCCAAAAACAAGCAACATTTTCAAAAATTTATTTTAAGCAATGTCATTGCGTAGTATATCTTTAAATATCGGTCATTAACCGACAACATAAGTCTTTCGCCTCGAAAATCTACCAGCTGGTAAGATCCTCCTGAGAAGACCTCCTCTATGACAAATGGTCCCTCCCAGGTCGACTCGAATTTCCCACTTATCTTGTGGTATGCATGAATGAGTCTTTTGAGAACAAGAAGGAGGTCACCAACTTTAAATGCCCTTGGACGAACCAATTTGTCATGAGCCTACACCATCCTCGCTTGATAGAGTTCCAAATGTTGTTGTACTTCTAGCCGTTCCCTCGAAACTTTTCAATTGTTCAAGTTTGAGTTTTGCACTTTCTTCTGCTGTAATTTGGTTGGCGATGACGACTCTAAGAGATGGTGTATGGACTTCTAGCGGCATTACGGTCTCAGACCCATGAACAAGTGCGTAGGGTGTACATTGAGTTGGAGTTCTGAATGTTGTCCTGTAGGCCCACAAAGCTTCTAACTATTTATCATGCCATCCTCTTTTGTTTTCTTCTAACGTCTTCTTCAAAATTTGCATAAGCATCTTGTTAAAGGCCTTGACCGGTCCGTCTACCTTGGGATAGTATATCATAGAGTATCTCCAGCTCATCCCATGTCGTTTGACAAAATTGTTGATCTTTGTGCTCTTGAAGATTGTTTCATTGTTGGAAATTGATGCGCCTAAAATATATAGTATTTTAGACACATTTTTATACCTATTTTAGAGATATTATACTTTAATGGAAAGTATTTTTGTGTTTTTCTTTCAGGTAAAGGTAAAAAGTGAAAAATGCTCAAATTTGGAGCAAATAGGTGAAAAATGTGCTAAAGTGTTTTGGCGCCTAAGTATCAGATCCAGCGCTTAAGTGCCAGGTAAAAAGAGAAGGCTGCGCCTAAGTGCCAGAGGCCCCACGCTTCAGCACCAGTAG